GAGGATCTCTCAACGTGCCGTTGCGAACTGCGCAACGCAGGGTTGACTCTGGGTGTATTGCGTGTCAGCTTCTTTCACAATTGTTGAACCCTTACCCCGAATTACGAAGAGTAGTGAAGTCTTCAAATGTTTATTATTTCATTTTTGAAACACATAAAAGCATATTTAGTGCTGAAAGAGTTCTGAAACTGTTAACATTTCTGAATATGATGGTACTTTGTGTTTCTACGGTAACCAAAATGTAACCCCAAAACTGCAAACAGTGTACACCAGTTCTATGGCAGTCACGTCAATTGTGGTTTCAATTCTACAGGTGACATATTCGGCTGGAATATGGCTCTCAAACCACTCGCTACAATCCATTATCGAGACCCACATACTGGCAACTTTCTCCTAATCCGAAAACCCTCCGCAATTCACGTGAGACCGCTACTAAAATACCCCTGTTCGTATTATTCTGATAGTTGCCAGCAGCACAGCTGAATTAGTCTTATTGAATCTCGTAGCAATTGAATTCGTACCAACGCTTGCCCCTTCATATCCTCCTTAGCTTCTGCACCCACCAATAGCAGAAGCAACTGTTTGATTCCTCTCTTCGCATCACGATCCAGCCCATATAAGTAAGGCGAGTACACATGGAGGACACCGCTTCGTCGCCCTCTCCTTCTTTAGAGGTTTGATACGGCTCCTTAGAACAACGACCCTAGAGGGATCTATACTTTGCTACTAATGGAGCGAGAACATGCGTGAGCCGAGTCGAAAACACATAAAGTATCGCTGAAGCAAAAACTGACTTTGGAAAGCCGCTATGAGGAGTTGGATAGGTGCCAGCTGTGGTCCGTCCGCCATTTGGTCGACACGCCTACTTGCTAGCCGTGGAGGTCGCTGCGTGGCCAGTGCGTAGTGGCTAATTCAAATGCGTGCGGGTCAGTGGAGTCATGGAGCGAGCAGGTTCAAAAATGCTTCCAGTCCCATCATTTCTATCAAGGAAGAAGAGAGGAAACGCTTGCCAATGGCTTCATAGGCGATTTGCTTTGGTTTCTTTTTTCATTCACATCAGTTCGGCATCCGTTTTCATTAATCGGCGCACTTACTCCACACCAATTTCTGAGTTTATTGCTTTAAATTTCTGCACAGCTTATTTGGATGAAAATGGTGTTTTCGGAGGGTGGTAGTGAGTATCCCTCGGCCCACCGCTGATAGTATCCCAAACTTACACTTCTTCTTTCATTTAAGCCGTGGCGTTGCAGATTCTAAAATGTTTGCCACGGATCTCTGCTCGGCTAGATGTTGGCCAAGTGTTCGACGGGCGTGCAACAGGGATTCACACTAACGAGAGCTTGGTGGCTCGTACTGCCCAGGTGACACCTTTACGTCGTGGTTGTACTGATCTGCCAGAGTGTTACGCCGAAATTCACTAGCACCTTGTTCCTTGAAATTTATGAATATTGTTTCGGTTGCCAGTTCAGGTGGGGGATCGTACTCTGATCAAACGTAGTATCATTGGATCTGGATGTGTTGTGGGTGAAAAATCAAACATTCAAGGAAGTGTCATCATGGGAGGATCGACGATAGGCAAAGGGTGATTTTTTTATGATGCAGTAAGTTGGAAACTTTATCATCACTCTGATTTGTAGAGCAAAGATCACACAGTGCATCATCTGCCGAGGCGCGGTGATCGGTGACAACGCAGAGCTCACAAGTGTTATTGTGACAAGGGATCAGCGTGTCAGTGCTAATGGTTAGTCTTCTAGTGTTTCTTTTCCTATTTTCTATTTTTTTTCGGTGGAATACAAGTGGAACGGACACGCCGAATTTTTGAGCACGGTAGGCGCGAAATGTATGTGCGTGAGGACTGCTGTCCGGTGCTATGGTGTCACGAGAATCAAGGGAAATCGGGAAGTGTAGCCAATTCAGTGGGTTGAGGAGGGGGGGGGGGGTGAAGGCAGTCACTTGACATGCGTGAAAAACTGGAATGTGAAGTTACTTCATAGCGTCTCGTCACGTCATAGAGTGGGCACCAGTCCCTACGTGCATACATTTCGCGCCTACAATATCCAAAAAATCGGCGTGCCAGTCCCACCCTTCCACGGAAAAAGCTCCTCCCTCATTACCACAGAACACGATACCTTAAAGCAATCTTCCAGGGGAAGAGTGATCATTTTGTCTTGTGTTTAGGATT